GAGGGAGCAGCTGGACCAGCCAGCAAGGTGGGACAGAGCTGCCAAGAGGAGCAGGGTAGTCACATCCAGCTGCCAAAAATGATGGGGGACTTGGGGGTCCCTAGGAGTGAGACCACCACAGAGGAGCTGGCTACCTGGGAACAGTAGAGACTGGGACTGAGGGGCAGTTACTGGGCAGACTGCCTGAGCCCAGCTGCTGAAGGGAGCCACGTTGTACCTGTGTGGCTGTATATATGTACACACATACACACTTACACACATATACTCACTCGTGCACATCCATCCTGCTCAGCCCAAAACGGGGCTGTGGTGAGGCTGACAGTGCTGCATTCATGTGCATACGTAGAGCATGTGTGTGTACGTTTGTGCATGTGCCTATTAGGGGCACAAGCTTAGCCTGGCTGCTGCTGGGACCTGGGGACCTGGAGCCACACCTTTCTCAGGCTACCAGATCTGGGTCGATTTTCCTGTGTCATTAGATCCATATATTTGTATACATAGCATATATATGCCTATATATGTATGATATACATATATGATATAATATACATATGTATATTTCATAGGACTTCTACACAGCAAAGCATTTCTACACATAGAACTGAGATAAGGGATTAAAGCAGACAGGCAGCAGATTTCTCCCATGGTATCTGCAACAAAAAGTAAATAACAGTTACTGTTCCCTTTCAGAGACTTCACGTTTCTCACACCCTACCAGCAATCACACCTGTACTGCAGCAGGAAGTCTGGTTACAGGATTGGGTGGCGTTCCTGAGAGAGCTTGAATGAAATGAGCACAGGTAAGGGTGGCAGCAGTGATCTGCAAGTTCTCCTGGTTTTGCTGAGAGTCTGATTTCCTGTGCAGCTAGTACAATAGTGTGCTGCAGGTACAAGGATCAATTCCTGTTCCCTATTGCCTTCTGTCTTCTGCTCCCATCTCTCTACCACATACACTTCTTCAGGCATGGTGAACTGAGTTCATTCTGCACATCTTGTGATAACCTGCCCTAAAAGGCCACCATAGATTCTGCTTTTTTGGAGTACAGCCATCACCATTAAGCAAGGGTTTGTAAAACTTGAGGGCTTGTATTATGTGAGGCCATGAGGCAGAGTACTAAACAGAGTGAGGCAGTCCCAGGGCTGGCTGTTTGGGTCTGCATGGTCACCAAGCAACACATGGAAGCAGTAAAAAGTGCCACCTGAGTTCAGAGTGTCTGGAAACACAGAGATCTAAAACCAGGCTAACATCAGGCATTGGTAAAATTAAGACAGAAGGTAGCTTCATTTCTGAAAACAGCTACTTTTGAAGCCCTAGGTATTTCAGTAATCGGGGTTAATTCAGATGAAGGGAGTTTACTCCTAAAATGGTAATACAGGATTTTGAGAATAATTTTTTACTTTGTATGAGAGTGAGGCAGGCAAGCAACATGTTCTTAAACACAGTCTAAAAAGGTGACAACACTGAAGGCTGAAGAATGACCCTGGACTGGAGGGTGAGGGGTGAAAGTAGACAGGGTAAACAGATCAGCAGTCATGTTGTGATTGGGTGAAATTCAGGTTTAGGCATATTACCACTGGCTCCTCTTTTCCCCAGAGCAATGGGATGACAGAAAATGGTATCACGATAATACAGCCCTTTCTAAAAAAGGCCATGGAGCCAGACTGCTCACCATATTTAGCACTACTAAATTACAATTGGCAACAGCAAGCCTTGGTTGTCACCTACTGACATTTTGTTCAGCCCTAAAAATGAAAACACAGTTGCCTGCACTGTTTCAAGTGATGAGAGTCACTGGGGACTCACAGATAGGGACAGAGGAAGATAAGGCAAAGCAAAAAGTTTATTGTGACTTAGGATCTCAGAGCTGCCACTGCCACAGCCAAAAGGTGTCGTTTTGTGTTTCTGATGCGGTGAAAAGTGGTCGTGTATGGTAGCAAGGTCACAAGAGGTGTCTCTGCAGCCAGATGGCATGAGCACCCACCAGGGAGAAGTGGCACCAGCCCCATCTGCACCCCTGAACCTCACTGACATGTAGTAGTACATGTGTCTGTGTTCACTGTAAGTATGAAATGCTTACTATGAAACTCATTAAAATCACCATGAAATGCTTTAATGGGTGCACACTGACAGTCGAACCTGGCTACTCTTCTTTGCACCCTCAGGTTTGGCTGAGGAAAAGTGACACTGGGAGCTGCACCCTTCAGGCTTCCTCCTGGTGGCTTGTGGGACCCTTTCACTGTGCAGTGGAGGGGCTGGAGGTGGGCAGGCAAATCTGCCCAGCTGCTCAGTTCTGGGCCATTCTCCCTCTCTGTCTGACCACCCCTGCCCAGGCAGATTGGAAACCCACTAGCCCTGACTGCACCAGCTTCTAGAGTTGGTCTCAATGGGAGCTGGGGGCACAGGGACAATTCCAAAAGCAGAAGCCACAGACGGACATGGGTTAACTTGTAAAAGGCAAACCTCCATCAGAGAGCAGCAGGGAGCTGGGTTCTGGGAAGGTTTATGATCTTGTCCTGTCATACAGGGGAGATGGTGTATTATTGGTTCTGCCTCTCACATCTTCTCTGTGAAGTATCACTCCAGAAGTGACAGTGTTAACAAATACAGTGGGAGAGACTGCTCTGTAAGCTGAGCTACACGGTCACATGCACGGGTTTTATTTTTAACATCCCAAAACTACTTGATGTTTCTGCCTGGGCTTGCTCAGTGTCCTCCTATTCTCTCTTTCTTTTCTTGCAGTTCTCCCTTACCCACCTCACTTCAGCCTAGCTGAGCACAACCAGGAGAGCAAGTGTTTGGTACACACAGAGGGACTCTATGATTAAGGTAAGGCTTTGCAAATAGTGTTAGAGTCTTTTTTTGGTGAAACCTTATGCAATGCAATGATTACTGTATCGAGCTATGAAAACCAAGATGTCTTCAAAACAGCCTTAGTAATCTTGTGGCAAAAATGCTAAGACTCAAAATCTGGTGAGTTTTGTAGATTCAAATGCAAACTTTATGTTGGTAATCCATACTGAATGAATGATGATGAAGTAAGAATTACAAGGGCTACATGTATGACTGTACCATTTAGAGTGGTGGGTGCTCAGTAATTTTTATTCAGGAATAGTGTCTCTTTTTGCTTTTATGACTTAGTCCTTAACCAGTAGCTCTGAAATTCTCCATACTGGGTGCCTGCCTTGGGCTGGGTTTCTTTTGTTTTGCCTAAAACTACTCACTTGACAATCTCAAGAAGTTTTTAAAAAAGTATGTTAATGAGATCATTACCAGATTATCATGGCATATAACAGAACCTGAGCCCAAAGGAAAAACAAAACAAACCAACCAACCAACCAACCAAACCACCAAAACACAAACCCAACAATAACAACAACAACAAAAATTTTGGACCATATTTTTTTTCTTTTTCTCAAACTGCAACTAATCAGGAACCTGTTTTTTTAAAGCACTTTCTGAACTCAAAGCAAAAGCATACCCATTTCCCAGCTATTGATGCCAAGTGGGAGTTTGCCCATGTCTCTACCAAGGACAGCACAGGGACCCCTTACATGCACAAGGAGCAGCAGGGCAGCTCCATGCCACAGCCTGCCCATCTCCCTGTCCTGCCTGTCTCCCACACAACTCCCCAACTTGCCCAGCACACGACCCTCCTGCCAGGCTGCCCTGCACCATACTGCTAGCAGGAATTTTGGGGTGGGTTTGTCTCAGGTGAGTTATGGCTACGTTGTGCTAGGTGGGGAGGAGAAATATTGCTGCTCCAAGTCTCACAGGGAGGAGTGCAGTGTGAGGTTTCCACCAGCAGTGCCCTCTGTTACCCATGCCTCCCTACTCTGAACTCTCCCGTATGCCTCCCATAACAGCACCAGTAACAGCACCAGTGCATTTCACTGGACGTAGGTTGCACAGGCACATTTCAGTGCCTCTTGAATGCCTGTGTGCAGCACGGATTTACCAGCTGAGGGGGAGGCCTGATGGTGCAACCACTTCTCTTGAACTCCATCGTCCTGCGTGCTAGATTTAAGGAGCTGAAGAGAAGCTGATGTGCTGCTATGAGAACCTGAGCAGCAGACATGCTCTGGAAGAAAAGCAAGGGATGTGAACTGAAGACTTTGACAGATGTACTATACTGTGGACTTACTCAATCTCTGTCATTTTAAAGCATTTTTTTTTCAGTATAAAGCAATTCTAACCCGTTCAGTAACTCTGAACTGGCGGTTATTGTCGTGAAACACCACAGGCTCAGCCAGCTGATCCACAGCTAGAAAATGCAGTGAGTAGCTCCCTAATTGTCACAGCTTCATCCTTCCATCTTTGGGCTAATCTAACAGGTCAGTTGACACAGAAAATCTTGTCACTCTACATGTCTCATACTGAGGATTTGAGGTTCACCAGAAGGGCTTCCCTGGAATCAAAGTCTGCTGTAAATTCCATGTGAACTTGTTCAAGGTCTGCGCCTCAAAGGAGCTATGTCTGTTCACATGCTTGCTAGAAGGTTGTTGGTGTTACTGAGGAAGATTTAATCTATACCCTTTCTTCTCCCTTTCTGCCTACCCTGAGCTGTACCACATTCACTGCCTGGCTCATGCAAAGCTTGGCTGGCAACACGCGTCTGGATGGCAGCTGCAGAGCAGGTGTGCCAGGAAGGACAGTCACCTGCTATGACTGATGCCAAGGAGGTCACTCAAGCAGTAGCTCTCCCTGCTGTGAGTGTTGAGATGTGGGGCAGTACATAGTGACTAGGGAAAAGAAAGAAAAGAGAAGAAAATCTACAGTTCAAGGAGACTTAAAAGCCCTTCTAGAAAATGTGATTTTACAGCTGGCTCTGCTAAGGATTTTGTACAGGAGACATGCAAGTGAAACATCAGAAGCTGAGTATCTCCATGCTTGGTGTGTGTATACATATATATATATATATATATATATGTTCTTCTATAAAATATCACATTTAATTCTCTTTATTTTAATCTTTCCGTACTTTAATTCTACATCTGCCAAATGGAAGTCATAGTATCTTTTAACTGCATCTCTACCACTGCAAAGATAAATTCATTATTGGTTGTGAACCCCTTCAGATACTAAGATGCAAAAGTCTATAAGGAAGTTAATAGCTCTGTATCCACCTTAGGGTTTAAGTATTATGACGAAAATGAGACAAACACCATATACTGGGTAAACAGGATTAAAAGAAATAGAGAACATGACATATCTGCACTATATACTTAAAAGGTATTCACATTCCTTGCAAATATTTTTCTGTTGTAACATTACATATAACTTTAACATTCTTGGCTCCACCATTTGGATGCAAGCTTTCCTGAGATTTTTTAGGAGGTCCTTATCACATTGTAAATGTTAAAAAGATTGTTTTATGTTCATTTGCCATCGCATCTCAGGGGCACTCTTTAAAGTAATTATCCAGGGTTGCTGGTGGCCCTTCTTGATGGTTCTTTACAATGGGAGGCATCCCTTGATTCCATGTGAAGACCTGAGTTATGGTGTATAACCTTAGTGTGTCATATGATCAGTCACATAACAAAACCAGTTGTATTGTTTTGGCTCATTGACTTCAACTGAATTAAATATATATTTACTGAAATTAAATTGTAATTGATTTATAAGCTGTAAATTATTGTTAGTGAACAGATCTGCTCCAGACACAGACGTATCTGCAGTCAAAATAGCAGCTGTATATTTTTAAACCTTATTTGATTTGCTGTCATGACAGTCTAAAAATAAATATTTACTGAAGTGGACAAACTGTGGACTGTAATTTGCATCCTTTCCACAGTAGCCTGATCATGATTCAAGTATTTATTTCTGTTTTGATTTTTCTTTCTAACCCAGCTCTTAGGAAGTTTTGCAAGTTGTAGGGAAACAAGAAGTGTGCGGGTTTAGAGAAACATTTCATCATCTGACATATCTCTGTGTCACCTGCCTTTGGATGTTATGTCTCAAACTTACTGAGGCAAGAATTTGTAACTTTCTGCTCAGGGTTTTGAAAGTTGTGGTTTGTGTACTGGCAATAATACCATCAACTAAACCACAGAGCTAAGTAGAACAGTTAAAATACACAGATCCTAGCTACTGGCATGTCAGAATATAAGCATACAGATCCTGATAAATATCAGAAAATTCTCTATCACTTCTTCCTGTCATCTAGCTTCACATATTTGACACTGGGAAGCGAAGCAAAGAAATCACTTGTCTGTGAAGAATGGCTTATACAAGTTAGAGATTAGGTAAACGCAACAAAATATACCTGACTAATGACGACAACAAATTCTGGATCTGAATACTCTGATGTGGTCATTTTCCATAAACAAAGCATATTTTCTTTCTCTACATGTGATTCGGATGGGGTTTGTTTCAACCTGCAGCAGTGCGGAAGCAGGCTCCTCTCCAGAAACTTAGTAAGCTGTCCTTTCTGTGCTTTGCTTCTGAGATATTTTTATTTATCAATTATTTCTCTTCAAGAGTTACTTTTGCAGTGGAAAGTGTTGTTCACACATTCGTGCTTTTATTGCGGTGTAATGTACCCAGGCTTCCTCTGACCTTAGGCAAGTCATAGCTGGGACTATTTTTAGAGATTATATTTGCAGCAAAATGTTACAAGAATGAGAGCAGCAAGGATACTGCCAATGTGAAATAAATCCATCTGTATCTCCCGCTTCTCCAAGCAGCATAAAAGTAGATGTAACTAAACAGCCTAAAGCAGGACAGATGCCACCCTAAACCACATGTATTTAAGGGCTGGCTGTGCTTGGGGCCACCCTGGCCAGCAACCTGGTGTCACTTCCCTGCAGAAGCCAGTGCTTCCCAAGACAAGACAGGGAACGTTATAATGAGTAGTCACAAAATATTGAAGGTATCCAGAGAAGTTGCTCCAAGTATGACTGAGAACCTGCTAGTTCTCTAATCCAACAACTGTGTAGGAGGGTAAAGGACCACAGGAGAACCTACATGTTACCCCTAAACAGCATCTCTTACAGACACTGTTGAAGAAGACTGCTGGGCTGGTTGGCTCAATGGTTTGATCCAGAATGTGATTTCTTCTTTTCCTAGGCTTTTTAAAACAGAAGGCATGCCTCATGCTAGTCTTTGTACTTGCTGTCAGACTCTATTCTTCCATTTTCCCACTTTTAGGGAGGGAATTGCCAGGAATTATTGCAAGGTTAGAGATATTATGAGCAAGGGGAACTGAGAAGTTTTGGAAGTAGGCCTCAGAAGTGCATTACTTTTACATGAAACTGATTTACTTATTGGGGAAAAAAATGAAAAACACAATAATGAAACCCAAGCCAGTGATTCATTGTAACACAAAGCTAGTAATCTGGTAGTGATAACTTTTATACAAGTATTTTCATACATCATGTTCTTGTACTCCTGCTTTTTGTTGTTGGACCTCAGGAAAATTGTGTCTTTTTTGTATCAAAGGTTTTTAAGGAGAGAAGAGGCAAAAATATACCTATTTGGAAACTGCATTGATATGGAAGTGTGAGAACAGAAATTCAGTCTTCCCTAAGAAAACATTTAAGCTGTTTAAACCAAATAAAGCTGGCTGAAATGTCTGAAACATTTGGTTTGGCAACCTCACCTTGTTCGTTTAATCTAGTCTGTTAGTTGCAAAACGTTCATTCAGAGAGCTGCCTGATGGCAGCTGAATTTATGAAGTGGAGACTGGTATTGTTTATGACTTGTTGCCTGGGACCTCTTTCTCTATTTCCTGGCTCCTTGTGTCACTAACACCTCCATTAACTGAATCAAAATATGATCATGTCAGGATCACCTATTCCGTTTTGGGTGGTGTTTGACACGGAGTTGTCAGAAGTATGTGCAGTGGTGAGACCAGTTTTTGAGCAGTGGTGACTGGTTTTTGTAAGATCTTGCTCTAAAACAAATCCCAAAGGAAGAAAAATGTCTTCTTTCTCAGGGAGACACCCTCTAAAAGGCATGCTTAGGCTGACTTCTCCCCTGCACTGTCTCAGGAAGGGAAAAGCTCTGTTGAGGTTAGACCTCTGCTGCTCCCCTTCTGCCCTAACTGCACACAGTGGTGCTGAGCGGAGCATGAGATAAACCATACCTGCCCTTTTCTCCTTCCTACCTGCATGGCATTCACTGGTGACAGCAAGGGGAAGAAAGGTGAAAGGCAGTTTGTAAAAAGAAGTGTGAAAGAAAATGGACTGAACTGGGTGAGCATAACCTTGCAACAAGCCTCCACTGCACTCTGGAGCTCCCCTCCAAAACGCAGATGGAGGCATCACCTTGTTCCAAGCTTTGACATGTGAAAGTAGATGTAGCAAATAACCTGCAAGAAGGAAGGTCTCCCACAATCTTTGTTCCACAACATGCAGGCATCATCTAGGAGCACAAGGGTAAATCAGGAAAGCAGAGTATAGAAGGCCAGGTAAATTAGCCTTTACCCAAGCTGTTTTCCATACCAGGAACTAGGATCATGGAGAAAATCCTCACTTTCAGCCTTGCTAGTGCAGACCAAAGGGAGGTTCATTTGTGCAAAATTCATGTCTTTATGGGGGGGAATAACAAGACACATAGGCCAATCAACCAGTTTATCTTTCTGGAGAGGAAAAGGAAATGTCACCTGTCCTCCTCAAACAGCACTGAGGAAGTGGGAAGTTCCTTCACTGTGCCTCTGGCTGTCTTGATTTCGGCAACTTGGTATAGATAGACTCAGTGCAAATACTGGGACAGAAAACAGCTCCCAAACCCTGGCTGCTTCTACTGGGCTAGTAAGGACCTCCTCATCTATATCTGTGCTGCACTCTGCCACGGGGATCAGTGCTGACAGGCGACTGTATGGAGCTGGGAGCTGCCAGTCAGCTGCCTACAGCCTCATTCCCGCTAGGAGTGCACCTGAGCACCTAATGTGTACAAACCAAGCACGGGCATGTAGGGTCTGTGGCCGTCCTTGCTCCTTGGGGCAATAACTCTTGTCTTCTTGTCTTTGCTACACACAGCACCGGGCTCAGAAAGCTCCCCCTGGGCAGCACAGGCACTGTGAGAGATGTTTCAACCGGCACTGCCGTGCACCAATTGAGCTCTCCGTCTCCTGCATGGTGATCAGCTGCCACCTTCACTGTGGGGCCACCTTCCACATGTGCAAGGAGGAGGAGCACCAATTGCTCTGTCCGTTAGAGCAGGTCTCCTGCCTCAACTCAGCCTATGGCTGCCCTTTTTCCATGGCCCGCTTTAAGCTGGCAAAGCACCTCCAGGTCTGTCCAGCCAGTGTTGTCTGCTGCTCAATGGAGTGGAATCGCTGGCCCAACGTGGATTCAGACACGACTCTCCACAAGAACATTATGAAGGAGACTTTGAGTGAAGAGTGTCTGGACACAGCCTTGGCACTCAGAGACCAGAAGATACTTTTCAGGACTTTGAAAATAGCCAACTTCTTTCCAGAATGGAGGAAAAAGGATGAAGTGGAAGAGCTAATGGATGAATCCATGGGTGGGGAAGAAGGTGCAGTGGGAGGAGCAGGCTGTGGTTCCCAAGAAGGTAACGACCAGTTGTCTGAGCTTAGCCAACATGAACGTGAAGATTTGGCAAAGGACAAGGAGGGAATGGATCTGGGGAGTTACAAAACCTGGGAGAATATTTTCAGCAAAGAGCTCCTGGCTTGCAAGGTAACAAGCTCAGCAGCCAGCACAGGACAAAAGACACAGGAGTCTTCCAAGAAAAAAGTATCAGCCCCTAATTCTGCTAGCTCCACAAAGAAGGCAAAGGAAGTACCTGACAGTGCGGAAGAGGCAAAGGACCAAAAGCCTGAACAAGTAACACCAAGTAGAGAAATGACAGGACTGGCTCCCTGGCAAGAAGGTGTCCTGGAGAGGCTGAAGAAGGAAGTTGGTGTAGGTGATTACAACATGTATCTGGTACATCATGGGGGAATGCTTATACGCTTTGGCCAGCTAGCTGCTTGCACTCCCAGAGAAAAAGATTTTGTCTATGGGAACTTGGAAGCTCAGGAGGTGAAGACCGTCTACACCTTCAAAGTGCCAGTTAGTTACTGTGGCAAAAGAGCACGATTAGGAGATGCACTGGGCCACAGGATACCAACTTCAGACAAGTCAGTGGATACCTCAGAACTGGGAATAAACATAGAAGAACTACCTAAGGCAAATATAGTTAAATCCACACTGCTGTGTGCACTGGAAAAAGAGCTGAAAGGCCATGAGATCTCTGAAGCAAGAGGTATTGATGGACTCTTTGTGGATTTTGCAACGCAGACGTACAGCTTTCCTCTGGAGCCCTTCTCCTCCAGTGCTGTTCTGTCAGATGTTCTGGATGAAAAGAGCCCAGCAGAACTTCACATGGAACTCTACAGTGAATGTGTAACCAGAAGACACAACAAAAGCAGTTCAGCTTTCACGTTCACTTGCAGTCATTTCTTCAGGAGGGATGAGTTCCCATCCCACTTTAAGAATGTGCACGCTGATATACAGTCATGTCTGGATGGATGGTTCCAGCATCGCTGCCCACTGGCCTACTTGGGATGTACTTTTGTTCAAAACCACTTCCGCCCTGATGGACTTAAGGCCAAGGTTATATACAGCAAGCCTCTCAAGACATTTGCTATTAAGCCAGAGGTGGACACCCTCCTTGCTGAATCAGGGAAGTGCAATCCCACAATGGCTAATCGAAGAAGAAATAAGGACTTGCTGAGCAGCCTCCCAGTGGAAGTGCTCAAGTACATTGCGGGGTTCCTGGACAGCTTCAGTTTATCTCAGCTATCGCAAGTGTCAGTGCTGATGAGGGACATCTGTGCCACGCTTCTTCAAGAGAGGGGAATGGTCCTCCTGGTCTGGGAGAAGAAAAGATACTCCCATGGTGGTACTTCGTGGAAAGCTCGCAAAAAGGCAAGTGACTGTGGTACTGGGAAAAAGGCGGCAGCGGGTTCTCTGCAGGTAAAACCCAGGCACAGCAAGGGATGCTGCGTGTAAGCATGCAGGTGTGGGGAAGGTTCAGGAGCTTGCAAATTCGGACCACGATTGTCAGGGATCAGGGCTGCAAAATACTACAAAATACATCTAGCAGAGGTAGGAATGTGTGAATGGACATCTTCTGACCACCTGGAAGTCCCCACCCAAACTTGTCTTGGGTAACCTGTTTGCATGTACACCATTTTTAGGCACTGGGAACTGAGAATTCCTGATAGTTAAGGACTACACATGAATTTTTGAAGAACTTGGAAGTTCATACTTTTTTTTTGTTCTTCACTAGCTGATCTAGGGTATGTCAAAACTAAAACACACTTTAGAACACCAAAAAGGTAAAGAACAAGGAGATGTGGCTGTGAAAGGAGCTCAGCTGTTCAGATCAGCCTCCGAGGGCTTTCATGATTAGTAGTTCACAGGACTGCCATGAGTGGCTGTTGGGTTGTGAGCACCTGAGGGACCAGCATAGGCACAGGAGGCCTTCTTCTGCAAAACTGGCCTCGCACTGTTTTTCTGGAAATTTACCACCCTTACTTGCTATTTAGGTAGTCTGAAAAAAATATATAAACACAGCTCAGTCTAAGTCCTAGTTAAACAACTGTTCTTACAGGTTTTTCTCTAGCTGATAGTCTTGCAGCTGCTCTAACATAAAATCATTTGAAAGAAAAACATGAAAGACTCCAGCATGACCAAGCACACAAGACAGAGGTCTAGGAACAAATAATTTACAGACCCAGGGAAGATGACCAATAAGACCTGGCTTGCAAGGAGACCCCTGAAGATCTGCACTACTGATTCTCATACTGGAAGCTTAACAGTTTATGACTTTATTAAGAGAACGTAATCTTCATTAAGAGAAAACCTGAAGTGTTTTGAATCCAAAATCTGTGTAATAAAGTTTGGTGGCTGCAAGTTGAATTAGCCCAACCCAAAACTGGAATTAGCCACTGAGATAATTGACTGGATGATGTGGCTTCCATCAGTAATAGAAAGATTTTGACTGCGCAATGATGCAGCAATTAACTTCAGTTACTGTAATGCGGTTTCAAACCAGCAGCATTCAGTTTAAGGACACTCTAACCCTTTTCATGTTAGTTCTTTACTGACCACACAGGAATCATGTTTCCAGTGCACAGATTCTGCTTGAAAACATTCTGTTTGTAATGAATTTTAATTTCTTGAGTACTGTGTATAATAGCTATGATTGCTTAGGACTAGGACAGAGTTTGATCATCTTAAACATAGTACACTCATGTGTTCTTCTTCCACAGGAAGAAACTTTTTAGGAAGAAGAAATCTGCTATGACTTTAAAAATTCGTTTGATGTAATGGTGTACAGCAAAGTGACTTAGTCACAGTCCTATCCCTGTGCTAGTATGTCACTAAACAGTACATGGTATCACTGCAAACAGAACCAGAAAATTTTAACTGCACATTTCTATTTTTTACAAGCTTGTATGTCCTCTAGGAATAACTTTAACCCTAGATTTCCCAGGCTTGCTTTGGAGTGAGTGAATGTTAATTACTTTGAAGTTGCTGATAGATGCTTTGGAAGGTCTTTATGAGGTCAGAGTTCTTTGAGATAGATATCACACAAGCATGCTGTAGTCCCTTTGCTTGTATCATCTTGGATCATGCTCTACATGTGGTGGAGCTCTCTGTAGAGGTGTGATGGTCAGGTATCCTGGGTTTCCTCATGCCCTCTGTTGGCCTAACACTAGAAACTGTAGAAGGATGCTTTCCCATTAGGAATGGCAGGGGATGACTAAAGCAGCAAAACCAGCAAGTACGAGGTACGTAACAAGGCAGACCCTGCTTTAAGTTGTTATGCCAGCCCTGCACAATCAGATGTTCACTAGCCTTGTCTAGCACAAGCAATGCCCACTCACTATAAGCTTACAGAGATTTTTTTAAAACGCTTTCCTATTTTTACTAAAGTTCTTATTTTCTCTCCCCAATTTCTCACTCCTTTTCCATATTAGATCTGGCAGTTCAGCAGTCTGTTCTCCAGAGTTAACAAATGGCAGCGTAACGACGTCATGAGCATGTCAGAGCACCTGAAGACTTGTCCCTTCTACCAAGTGGAGCACAAGACAGACCCCGTGCGGCTGACAGGCATGTGTGAATCTCAAGAGCAGACTCAAAAGACTTTGGTTTCTACTTTCAAGCACAGAATCTGAACAAGCTGCTTCCCCTCCACCATGCTCCTGTCAGGGCCCTTGAAAAGAAGATTTGGGCATTTGGGTGTAAAGATTGTTGCTTCCAACTCTCTGGAACTGGCTTTGAAACAGCCTGCATTTTTTTTTGTTTTCTTGCATTAGTTTGATTGTTAAAACTTCATCCACTGCTCACTGATATCACATGCTTTCTGTTTGTGTTCCTTGCTTCATACACCATCCCAAAGAAAGCAATAAGGATCTTGTTTGAAAACAGCATCTTTGTAACCTTCAAGGTAGGCTGCTGCTCCCACACCATGCCCCTGAGAAAAGCAAGAGCAGTTAATACACCTAGTCTGACTAGGTCTGAAACACTTTAGTTTTGGCTGGAAAGCCAAGTTCTAGGAGCACAGGTAGATGCCCTCTTGCCTGGCAGACCTAGGGACTGCTAATCTGTTCTGAGATGTGGGCAAAAGAAAAGGACCCACCAATATTAAATGAATGAGTTAGAACTTCAGTGAGAACTCAGGAATTCACTGTGCAGACCATTAGTTTGGGACCCCAATTCAAGCAAGTGTGTCTAGTTGACTACAAGCCTAAAGCTGAGCTTGTGGGAGCGTTCAAACCAAAGCAAACAAGCTTTTTCTTTGTTGGAAATAACCCAGAAAAAAACAGTTTTGGGTGCTCAATTGACTTTTTATACTTTTCAGTTAATAACTTTCTCCATTCTGTTTAAAAATCCATTTAAACCATCAAACAATATTTGAAAGTAATTTTTAGAACACTTTACCTAGCCAATTTTGCAGTTGTAAATTGCAAATTATAGTTGTAAGCAACTGTAAACCATATGTCAAAGAAATATTACTCTTTTCTGTAACAGAAAAGGCATTCGGCAACCCATTCAGTAACAGTGAAGATAAATGTTTGCTTAAGTTAAGTGGACTGGAGTATAAGATTTTCTACTTTTTTACAGAGCAGAAGAGAGATTGGGATTTGGCTTTTTTTTTTTAATAAATACACTAATTTAAAACTAGAATGTGCTTGTTGAGGCAGCAGATGAGAGAAGGCAGGCATGCTACCAACAGAGTCTGTCTTACTATGCTATTTAAACCCATTTCAGAGGTGCTAGTTAGAAATGCCATCGTAGGAGTGGGAGGGATTGCTCTGAAATGGCCATTAAATGATTGGACAGCTTATGGCCACTGCACAGCCACAGTGGTGCCGACTCACACCCCTTTCTCCTTTAGCTCGTAGGCAGACGTGCGAGCTCAGGCCATGAGGTCTGGCTGAAGTCTGGCTTCTGTCTTACTGTCTCTGGCAGGAGGACCTCGCTGGGAGCTGGGATGTCTGCTGGCCTGGACCACTGCTCTCCACGCCTGGGCTGGCCGGGTGAAAACTAGCCTGGGTAGAGGGACACCTGCCACACTTGCCATCCCTGGTCTCAGTGGAGATCTGGCATGAGGCAGCTATGCAAGAAGGAGCCCTCTCTTACCAATGAAGGTTGCTGATGAAGCTGAGCTAAGCGCGTGGTCATCAAAGGCATGAACTGTGTGGTGACCGAGCCCACGCCGAGTGCACCTCGCCCCTGTCTACACTTGCAGATTAAGTGGTCTCTGTGAGATTTTTAATCATACAAGGATGGTTTTTTTCTCCAAACACACACCCTCAAGAGCGTATTGTCTGAGTTGTGGGAACAGTGGATTGGTCCCAGGAGCAAGAGTAGCAGCAGTTACAGATTTATTTACTTTTTAGTGCCATTCTGTTTTCTGTCCCTAGAGAGCCTTTTTGGGAAGTCTTATAATGCTTTACACATGAGAACAAACTTGTCTGTGCAGGCATCTTGTGGAAAACACAAGTGGCATCCTAGTTCTGTGCAGAGGAAACTGAAACAAATGAACAGAGGTAACCTAACCTGGGCCAGGAGCAGTTAAAGGTGGGTCTTCTGATCCTTCATCCTCTGGCTTAAGTTGCTTACAAAAACTCACCTGTCCTCAAAACTTCCCGTATAATGTAAGTTGCCCAATATTATCACTGTTTCACACAGGGACGTTTACAGGGGTGAGAACATACAGACAGACTTCCTAGACAGGCCTCTACATCAGGACCTCATCCTTCACATGATCATGTACCTCATTCTGAAAGATGCTGAGAAGTCCAGCTGTAGCTGAAGACCACAATATCTGCAAATGCATGTCCAAAAAATAGGTGCCAGTATCTATGCTGGATACTTTAAAATGGAGCCACTCAAAATGATGGATAATTTATGAAGGGGAGGAAAAAAAGATGCTTAAGGAATAGGGTCTCAGAGTAAGTCACTGTTCAAGGCTGGTATAATAGATCATGAAAGAGTTCAGCCTGTAAAACATCTCTTGCCCGATGAGCCACTTAGCTGCTGTAAACTGGTGTAGCTGCCCTGAAATTGTGGCTTATGTTAGATATGAATTGGACTAGTTTTGACTTTAGTGCCAGTGTCACCCACACTGCTGCTGTTTTGCTCCTGGCCTCCTTCTGTCAATGCCAGAGAATTTTGTTCTTGGCTCTTCCTGCTTCTGGAGATCATGTGACTTCGGTTCCCACCTTACTACCACTGATCCTAACTCTTCCCTGTGCAGGAGGTGCCAGAGTCAGACTAGGGAGGATGCAGCTTTTGCAAATGTGATGGTTCAGGGTGCAGATCAGAGATAAGGAATGTCACAACCTCTCCTTCTTAGGATCAGCTGGGGTGTACACACATCTAGGAGACTGGGTCATTTTCCTTCTCGTACTCGTATGTATGGGTTTCCTTCTCACACAGGGTATGCTGGAGAGACACAGGCTGTTATTTCATGGAGAGAGAAAGAAACAAATCTGCCCCTGCGAATGTGTAGGTATACTTCTGTAAACCCTGCGTTTGGTTAAGTAATCTTCAGCATATACAGTGGAAGCTGAAAGTCCACAGCCATCTTCAGGTTAGTTTGATTAACCGGAACCTGGAAGAGGGAAAGCTGTGCAGGGAAGTGGACATCACCCTCACAGGAGTGAGTACCCACCTGGCAAACGCCAGCTGGTATCCAGTTCTTACTTTATCTCACATTTAACATTAGTGGAGAGTTGTGGGCTGATGTTTGGTGCAGTTTAATTAATCAGAGGATGCATGCCAAGCTAGCTCAATGTTGATGATCCTGCTCATTCGTAGAGTTGGAGGATGCTTTGGGGAGCTGCAAGGAACTGAATTTGCCTGCCCTGTTTATGTTGGTGAGCTGGCTTATTTAAAATGGGAGAGGCTTTGGTTTGGGTTCAGCAAATCCTTGGGCTCCTAGTTTTAGCTCATAACTTGACTGATGTAAAGTTAAAACTCTTCCTAAATTTCAGCTTGAGGGATTTTATTAGAAGCAAATGGGCATTTGGGTCTTTTTCAGAATGAGTCTTTTGTGGTAGCAGGGTCTGAACTGGAAAAGGACACCCAAGTCCAGCAGAGCATTGAGGTGGCTTGATCTACAACCCATACTCTGGACCTTCGTGGCTTTGGTCCCATCTGTGTTGTCCACAAGTCCTGCGAAGGGCAAGCACACTCAAGGCTGACATGGTTTGCACCGTTTCCTCTTGTTGGAAGAATGGGGACTGAAATGATGGCATTGTGGAAATCAGAGAGGTCAGAACAGGGCACAAAGGCTTGGGACAAGAGCACAGAAAGGTGTGAAACAGGGAAGGAAATGGGTTTGGGTAGAAGAGACCTGTCTGATTGTAGGTGTCATAGGAAGAGGCACATGGAGAACGGTAGAAGAGCACAAGAACGAAGGGAAGTGGGATGTGGAAAAGGGGATGCAGCTGCAGGTGTATTAGGAGGAAATGGTGCAGACACGGAGTATAGAAGAGACATTCAGGCAAGACATAGGGGAGTGGAGAGTATAATTTGTTTGGCTGGGTTTCTACTGACAAAGTAAGATCTTTGGATGAGCTGGGTGAACTCAATGAAACGGCAGCTCTGTTATGAACTGTAATTTATACAGTGGGCTTCACTCTGTGGCATGACCTCTGCTCTGGGTTAGAGTATTCAGCCAGTGGATTGTTGAAACATGAGCTGAGAAGCTACAGTAAAACCACATAGTGTCACATAATTTTATGTTCCTGTACGCTCATCATTTGCTGCCAACAACAAACTTTCTGGATAAATGCTTATCCTTGAAGAAGGAGCTTGAAATTCCCGATTCGTGTTATACAACAACGTGAGGCAGATGATAATTCTTAAGTGGTTAAAGGGTAGGTCACCTACTGACATGTATCATAAGTCCAGGTTGGAGGAAGAATTTACTTGCTGAGCCTCCAACTCCCAAAACTCAATGAGCACAGATAAGGTGAAGTTTATTCTGAACAGTGTTTGTTATTTTGCAAAACTCTGTAATTCCTTTTTGCTTTCTTAAGAATAAAAATTGTTATGGTTTAAAAAAATCCAAGTCTTAGCTTGTTTTCTTAGTTTCATCACATTAATGCTTGCTTTACTTTCGGATCAGATGTGGTGGTTCCTGTACCCTCATACTAATTACACTTCTTTCCTCTATTCCACTCTTCACTGTAATTTTCCTGGTTGAAGACTATTATTTGTATTTATTATTTATATTTATTTAATTTTAACAATTATTTTTATTTCTGACCTCAATCTCTTTGCACAGTTCTCTTTCTTGGTTCAGTTATTTACTTATAAGAAAAACTCCCCCTTCTTAAAAAATTTCATTTTCCAGATTGACATTATATTATATCTACAAACACTTGAAGGCGAGTTTTCTTCAGAGGTCTCCCTCCTTACTCTTCACTTTGTGGCTGTTCATCCAGGTAGCTACAGAAGGATTTTTCTTCTTTACTTGGGGTGCAAATTCCACAGCCACTGTGCCTTTTTTTTCAGAAATTCTCGGCTTCTTTCACATCCAGTTTTCTTACTGCTACAGTTCATGTTAGAAAGTTTTCTTAAATCCTCAAGTTTTAATTTCTTTTGAAACAAAACCTGCATGTACGGTACAGGCCTATTCATATTTAGCTTCCCACTTTAT